CTGGAACCTCCACAAGGACCCCTTGTAATTCACAGACCCCAGGTGGAGAACCATTGCCCTACAGCGGACTTTATCATGTGTTCACTGGGACACACAAAAAAAGTTTTAAAAAAGTATTTAAGAAAACAAGAGGAGTCATGCAGGCTAGTTTGCATAGTTTTACTGTTTCTTGTCGGTGCAAGCAAACTGACATCAGTAAGAGACAAACACATTTTCTACCAGTATTCAATGTTAATACACATTTTTGTGATTACATGTGCAGCTTAACGGTACCACATCATAGTGTGGAAAATTAATAAGCATTATTAATTTCATTATTAATGCAAAAAATAACTCTATAAGTCATGTATGAAAAAACAGCAATGATGGCATAATGGTGTATTCAATATATTGTCTGAAGATAATTGCATTTGTAAGGTCATGGTCATCTTAATAACACATTCAGTATGTCGATCCTATTCAGAGTGTAACATGAATGTTTGCAGTAACATTGTACATTTTTAAGCTACAAAATACCCTGTCATGCTGATAACAAGATAGATGATGAAAAACTCTTAACTAAGTACAGTTAGATATGTGCCTGGCGTGGCCTTGTGCCTCTAAAGAGCTTATATTGCTCTGCAAATTTGTGTTTGCCTTTCAATATAATCCCATCTGTGGAGACATTCACTCAGAGAGCAGAGACGGGAACAAACATAACACTTCTCTCCATCTGTGACCTCCCAGCTCTTCATCCTCCCTCTGAATGCAATGCAACAATGGAGAAGAGCGAGGGAGAGGGAGGAAGATTGCCTTGCTATTCAGGTATCTACTGATGGTACACAAGCTCAAGGATGGCAGATTCAATTCAGAGAACAAAAGTGTGAGAAAGGCTACAAATCCACTTGCAAGAAATTTTGCACAGGATGTTAGCTTTAAAGATGGAAAGGATTTAGTCCATTACTTGAAAAAGGGTGATTAAAAAGTATGATTTTATGAGAATACAATACACACATACATACAATGCAGTAGGTTTGATTTTCACTAAAGACACAAGCAACCAACTTGATGTTAACATTTACTGGTACTTTTAATTATAGCCATTTTGAAACGTTTTATATGTGCATTTTTATTTTAATTAAACTTATTATTGAGAAAAGAACAAAAACACTGGAGAATTTAGAATTTAATTGTAACAGTATTCTTATGAAAGTACAAATGGAGAAACCAGACAGCCAAACACTATGTACATTTGTTTGTGACTAATCAAATAAACATTTTCATTTTCCTTCACTGTCTTCACCAACATCTCATAGAAAAACTCAGAGACCTTGAGCAATGTTGAAAAACTTCAGACTTGTGAATGCGTACATAACCCAACACCTGCAAGAAAAGGCTCAACAACAGTGAATGAATCAAGTACTTCTTTTCTCACTCCTCAAACCCTTATTTAAAACCTTTGTTATAAAACCCAAACCCTTAAACAGATGAATCCAAGACAAATGGCATCAATGGACACATCGACAGAGCTTTGTCCAGACTATGTCTTAGTTTGGCTTGGGACCACTGCTGGTCTTATCAAGTACTACAAGAAAGCAAGGTATTGTGAAAATATTTTCATTACTAATAGTAACAAGAAAAAGGCAAACAGCAGTTTCTATAATCTTTTATGTCATGATCTTATATCATCTTTGTCATTTGGCAGCCAAACAAGAAATAAACCCATGTAACCTGCTCTCTTATTATCAACCCTTTGCATTCATTTGTGGGCACCTTTGACCTTTATTGTATTATTTATTATTTTGCGCCAAATGAAATACATTTATTATTATATTATTTAAAAATACAATTGTGTTTTTATTCTTATTGTATATAAATGGGTAGTTTAAATTGATGAGAAACAACCCAAACCCACCAAAATAATAATATCTTGCGGGCCAGATTATTATATATTTTTGACATTATGTTGCGGGCTGGAGGGAGAGAGACAGAGGGTAGGAAACGGCCCCAGGGTAAGCGATTTGAGATCCCTACCAATGATCTCTCAGCAGTGCCTCTGATCAGTCAATAGAGAGGAAGAGAGAGATCACACCTAAATGTTGAATTTATTTGGTCACATGCATTTTTAGCTGTCATCATGCTGAAATTTCACATCTAGAATGTTAAAGCTCATCTTATCATTAGCTTATCCAAACTGGCAACAGTCATGCTTGGCACTTTCAAAGCGGTGGTCCATTTACAATGTTGGCTGCTTATTCATTGCTGTAGTTCCTGGCAAGATAAACAGGACATGTATGCACAAAAGTTGATTTTGAACACCACTCCACTTTTCTAATGTCCCTACACCAATGATTTAAGATTTGATTTGTGATTTACATTTTGTCAACTACACTTAGAGTGCTAATTGGCTGTCCTAATCACGCATTTCTTGTGTTCTCTTATTTCTTGACAGGAAACAGCCACAGTTTCTTTTCCTTGTCCAGTTTGTCATGGATCACACAACAGCTGCTGTATGATATTTGCAGTTTCACAGATTTCAACTGAACCCTGCTACAAAAACCAGGGCAGTGTGAAATAAAAGTGTAAAATATTTATAAATATATACACTTGAAGACAACAAAAAGAATTTTAGACCAGACACTTTAGGGATCTGCTCTCAGCTTGTTCAGTGCAGATATCCCCCCTTACTGTGCTACTGAGTTTGTGTGTGTGTGTGTGTGTGTGTGTGTGTGTGTGTGTGTGTGTGTGTGTGTGTGTGTGTGTGCGTGTGTGCGTGTGCGTGTGTGTGCGTGTGTGTGTGTGTGTGTGTGTGTGTGTGTGTCTGTGTGCATCATGGGAAATGTTTTTGTAGCTTGACCCATAACCGGGACTATATGTCAAGATGTTTCTGGCTCTGCTGCTTCAATTTTGACCAAGTCTCTTGACTTTATGAAGCCTGTGCTTCTCAAATTGGGGTATGCATACCCCTAGGGGTACTTGGAGAACTGAAACGTGACATTTTTAAAAAAGTCAGTCATGCATAATTCCTAAAATAATCATACTCTGTTCAATAAAAATATGAATGCAAGTTTGATAAACCCCATTTCATATTCAATATTCTCATTTTCCATGCAATCATTAACTCCTGTAAACTTTCAACTGCAGTAAAACCTCACCAAGCACAAGCCCATGTTCCTCAGTAAATTATCAAAAAGGCACGGTTCAGTGCAACTACAATGTCGTCTTAGTCTTACTGCAAGATGGAAAAAAATGCATTGCAGTGTTGCATTCTAAACACTTTAAATGAAGCATTTAAATGTGTAAATACATCAAACACTGATGGTGCAGCATAGGAAAATGTTTTGTGCTGGTCAGGGGGAACTTGCCTGAAAAAATATCATTTAAAGTGGGTACGACAAAACATTAAGAACCACTGGTTTAAGCTGTGTAAAGCCTAATGAGGTTGGAAACTACTTTAATTAAACATTTTTGGTCAACATCATTTGCTTTCGTTTCAATGAGCAGCGAGTGGAGTTTATAAAGTCAACAATGTTTCACCTGCAGTCGACCAACACACTTATTTATCCCCACATAGTTTACGTTCTCCCTTAACAACCTGCTTCATTACAGTCTGTTTGTTTATAGGGTATGTTTGTCAAATCTCTTAGCTGCCCAGTACAACAATTGATCTCCGTGTTGCAATCAAAATCTAGACAGAAAAAGGTAACACTGGCATTGACATAAACTCTTAAAAAAATCATTAAAATCATAAGAAAAGATATTCATGGTCAAAACAGAGCAAAAAAGAGTTATGAAAAATATGTTTCTAACTAACTTTTTACATTCCGAAAGCTGATGCCAGTCTGCCTTTTTTCAGTTTTTATTTCAATGCCAGTGTGCTTGTTTCATGCCAATTTTTATTTCAAATGCCAACGGTCTCATACAGTCCCAGAAGCTGGACTGGAAAGTTAATTAAAAGATCACTCTGCAAGTTGACATTATGAAGAGTTAGAGGACAAATCTGCACGGAAATCTAGCAGAGACTTGCTTTAAATACTTACTTATGTCATGGCATCTGCGAGCCTTTATAGCACTTGATAGAGAAGCCTAAACTGTTTGGGTGGCCTATTAGGTTGAGGGACAGGTACAAAATATTTTTCCCACTTTGTGTTCATGTCCCTTTCTTACCAAATTCCCACCTCCTCTTCATCATGTGCAGCCGAAAAGATCTGAGTGGTGGTCAGATCTTTTTATTTCTTTCCAGTCCTGATTATGTTAAAAAGACACTGTCATTGACCAGTAACCATTTAAACACAATACATCCTGTGGTCCCTTCTAAAATCTCAAATGTGTTGGTTGTTCATGGCAAAAAAATTGCATTGTTTTGGTTTTCTGTTTAGTCTTTAGCTCCAAACATCACCTCATTTTCAAATCCTGAACCTCTACCTGAACACAACCAAAGCTTGTCATTATTACTGCCACCTTTCAGTACCTGAAGGTAAGGGATAAAAAAATCTTTTTTTAGATCCATAAATTATTCATAGGGAGTATTACAAATGCTAGATACACAGATTAGGCAGAAGCATGCAGTTTTCACTCTGGTTGAGCTGACATAATTCAGACCTCTAACAGTGTGTGTTTTTCTCTCTCATCCACCTGGCAGAGAACAGGAGCTGCACTGCCTCAGACCTGTGCCACTGGCTTTGATGCTTCACTTTCATGAAGAACTTCTGTACCTTCTCTTGCTGCAGTGAGTTGCATTTTTACCAGAAAAAAACATTTAAGTTGCGTTTTTTTAACATAGAACTTTGTTGTCTGCTTTCTTAGTAATAATTCAGGATAAGGCTAGGAAAAACAAGCGTAAGGAGACATGTAATTTGCTGATACGCTTTAAAGACATGTGCAATCAACCATTTGTCTGTACAAAAGCAGTTTATAGTGCAACCTAGAGCAAAGAAATAATAACATCAGGAGGAGAAAAAAATGCAGCAATAACAAAAATCAAGTATACCAGAAACAAAGGTATTACCCCAGTAGAAAGCTTGTTGTTAAGCATAAACCTTTTTTATTTTGTATTTTTTTGGGTTAAACCATATTAAAAATGGGAAAAAAAACAAAAAAACACCATCAGTGCATGAATGGAGATCATTTATATCACATGCAGGAAACAAGGAATCTCCCCAAATTGTCAAGTATGGACAGAATACTATGCTATGCTGATTAAGTTGAAAGATTGAGTTTGTTCTGAGGTTCAGATAATCATTTGATGCGGTTTGTGTAACACCTTTGTGTTGAGATGTCTGCTGTAGTGCTGAGCATCACTGCAGCAGCACCTGAACTATGCTTTAGAAGGAGGCATTGGTTGCCCTCTAGTGATGGTGACAGGTACTAGATGTGAAGCCTCAGTTGATATCCGAACAGCACCGAAAGCTCACTGTATAATTCAGTGGGTGCAGAGCTTTTGACAAAGGCTCTCAATCTGAGTAGACAGAGTTTTTCTGCATCCAGAACGATTATTTCACATGTACACGGCCACTCGTATTAAGTTAACATTCTACAGCCTACATGAACGGAATATAATCTCCCATAGCGCAATAGAATTGTGTCAAAATATGTGTGAAAAAAAATATTGACCCCTGAGCACATGTCAGCATTTATAGACCCCCTGTCTAACAGTCTGGTAGAGAGACATGTATTTATATAACAGCACATAGTTTTATGTAACCCCACATCCTATTCTACAAATCTAAGAACAAAAGCACATTTTACATTCAATTTGTCTCATTCACACTTGTGCTTCAGATGATGGAAGAAAAAAAAACATTTACTTCCATCCACACGATGTCTCTATTTTGCTACAAATAAAATGTATTGACATGGATGGGGAACTTCCATTGTGAATTTGTCTCAGCTCCAGTAAGAGTTTATAGTACCTATAGTGTCTTTTAAATCAGTAGCCAAACCTTCCATGTGCTCAGGTTTGTAAACATGATCAACAAGTCATTTGATGCATAAATGGATTCAGGCTGAGTTGTCCCTTTTCTTGCATGCTTCCCAACTTAAATCCACAGGAATGTGCTTTGCATCGTCAGCTTGCAGAATGACTGCCTGTGTCCAAGTCTGAGGCCTCTGCCTCATCTGCAGATCCAGTCAGGGATGGGTAAGGCCTCGGCTGGTCTAAGTTGACGTAAGTAACCTTCAGACTGATGTAGTGCTCTCCTTCCAGACAGAACAAGATGTGTTGTACATCTGTAACCAGGCTACTGAAGCTAGGTCTGCACTCAGGCTCCGGGTCCCAACATGTCAGCATGATGGAGTAGCTGTGGAATGAATAATGCGTAAATGAGTGAAACAGTAAGCACATGAGTGATTGTGTAAGACGGTGAGTGAACTATTGAATGATGGCCCTTGTGATTTTCAAAATAATACATTAAACTGAAATTAAACTCATATACTTTCACAGAGAATTGAGTCTCAAGCAGAAACTCAAAGAAGCAACTGTGTTATGCCATTGTGTCATGTGATAGGGTGCATGTATGAGCCTTACAGCGTATCAGGACAAAACTGTGGCTGGGGAAGCCGACGTCCCTTCAGCAAGTAGTGTGTGATGTCGTAGGGGTCTACATCTGGATATGGGCTAGCACCTCTGGTCAGCAGCTCCCACAGTAAGATGCCATATGACCACTGGGAAACAGATAATAAAGATAGATCAATATATTCTGGATACATTCATGATAGCTGTAACAAACATATTTCAGTAGGCTGGATATAGTACACTCACCACGTCAGACTTGGTGGTGAACTTTTGTGTTTGCAGACTTTCGATGGCCATCCACTTCACCGGCAGCTTTACCCGTTTGTGATCTTGAATGCTGTAGTACTCCTTGTCGTAGATGTCCCTCGCCATGCCGAAGTCAGCAACCTTTGCTGTGAAGGTTTCATCCAACCTGTGAAGAGATGCTAACATTATCTCCCAGCCAGTTCTTCTTCAGATAACACATCTCTAGTCTCAGGGTTCACTCAAGAGGAGCCAGGTGAACTCCAAATGATCAGTGTTGATGGGCAGTGATAGAGAAAAAAAGTATCAATCGTATTATGTTATTCTCTCTAAGGAAGCAAAAGTTCCAAAAATGTCAAACTATTCCTTAAATATGTAATGGCAAATGAACTGATTACACTTATCTAAGAAGTACCTTTCCCAAATATTTTTGTATTTTTTATTTGGTGGGATTATCGGAGCAAGCTTTTCTTAATATGTGAAAAAGGAGTGTTTAATCCTAATGTAGAAACATACTGGATGCAACAGTAATCAGGCATATTTATTGTCCTTTTTGGGTTTTCTAACTTTGTGAAACATTTCAGAACAATATCAACCAACACTGTATTTGTTGCTCAAGTTAAATCAATAAAGATATTCAAGAACTTAAATACACCTTTACAATACATAGACTTAACTTCAACTGCAAGGGGCACAAGAGGTAATGAAATGGCCCATCCTAAGGTGTGACAAAGCTTCTCCACTGACATGTCATGGGCCAGTAATCAGAGTATGATTCACACTCACATGCAGTTACGTGCAGCCAGGTCTCTGTGGACAAACTTTTTCTGGGCTAAATACTCCATCCCCTTGGCGACCTGAAGCCCAAAGCCAATCAGGTCTTTCACTGTTGGGTTCTGTGGAGGAAAAAGGAACTTAAACACACTTGGCTGATCCAAATATTCATTATTCCCACTAGTCCAGTACAGTTTCATTGCGTAATTTACCCTTTTCTCTGAGCGGATGAAATGACGCACATCCCCATGCTTCATGTACGGTAAAACCACCAGAGGGAGCCCTTCTTTAGGCAGCATTATGCCCAGCAGAGACAGTATGTTAGGGTGGTGGAATCCTTTCATGATTATGCCCTCTCTGAGGAACTGGTCCACCTCCCCCAAATCTGTGATCCCTGTTAATACAACACATACTGTTAGAGACCCTGAGCTCATTTCATGCTGATTTCAATTATAAAACAGATATTCACATACTGTTTAATGATTTGACAGCACAGTGGGTCTCTTGCTTGTTGCTGTCTATAAGGTATCCATGATAGACTGTCCCGAAGTGCCCTGCATATAAAGAAAATGTGGTTGTGATGTATATTTTTGTGCTAAAATATGCAAAATAAAGAACAATACAAACGTTTTAAAAGACGTTTACCTTTGCCAATAATCTGACTTTCCTCAATTCGGAGCATCTCCGCAGGGATCAGGACATCTTTGACCTCTTCAAGAAGATCAGAACTTAGGCTGATATTGTCCCGTGGCATTAAAGGAATGGACAGATGATCATAACTGGCAGCATACAATAAACCTTGGAAGGTCATTGCTCCTGAACCTGATGTTTGACTGGCCAGATCGACTGTAACACACAAGGGGAAACACACATAACATAACGTTAAAAAGCCATGCAGTGTTTTTTTTTTTTTTTTCTTAACAAACAGTCTATGCTAAGAAGACTTAAGTTGTTAAATTCATACATTCTTCACAAACAGGCACATCTGACAAGTTTATTTCTATGTGAAGAGAGAACTTGGTTGAATGTGACAGTAACATGAAATGTTTATTATTAATTAGGTGGAGACCATCTAATCTAAAACAATTATTCTAGTGTAAATAATTACAATCTATACAAATTTTAAATTTGAACCTTTATTGGTCAAGTGGTTCTACATCCCGTTATCCTTGACCTAGTGTTACATGCATAGGATGAATAAAAGGGAATGACATATAAACAATATGAACAACAAATGGTAGAACTGATTAACAGTTATATATTTATTAAAGAATTAATTTAAAATGTACCTCGCCTGTAGTCACCTGTTGGGGAGAAATCGGCGTTGCTGCCCATGCGGTTCCGTGACAGCATTGTTGATAAACGATTCTCTATGTTGGCTGAAAGGATACATATGATAAATGTATATTGACTGAACAATAAACAATGCAAATATATAGTAAAGTGAGTAATAATATGTGATAGTGCAGAATGAGCACACAATAGAAACACCTGTTTACAAATTATCGCAATCAAAAGTATTCTGAGTTAACAGAATGTATCAAGAAATAACTCTTTTCTCACCTCTCTTTTTCTTCCTCAGATGGATCATTACAACTAATGCAAGGCCAGCACCCACTACCAATGCAGCAAGGATGCCCAGCACAATGCCTGCAATCACAGTGTTGTTGTTGCTCTCATCGTTCACTACTGTACCCACGTCATAAATTTTTTCATTCACGGACACCTACAGTAGTGGAACAGATGATTTGCTTGTTAAATACATTTCATTTGAAAAGATTCATGTTAAGGTTGATGATTTAAATGCAATACTTTCTCACCCTGACAGGTAATCCCTCGCTGGGAATAATCAGGCCTTTAGGAATCCTGCAGGTCAGCTCATTTAACAGAACCTGGGCGTTACAGTTCACGCCCCCGATGGTCATTACGATCTTCATGCATGAGTTCACCGTATTCAGTTTGCTGTGCTGTTACATATGAGAAAAAGTTTACATTTTAAAAGATAAATGGCTATTGGTGTTCTGCATAGAGTAATACACTAAATAATAAATTTGTATTAATAATTGTGCCGTGCAACTATTGAGATTTTAAAACAATGCAGAAGAGTATGTACACATACATGCAGTGAAACTTCTGTCTCTCCTGGTTTTAGAAGTAACAGATTGTCATCATTTTCAAAGGGAATGACTTTGACATCGGGGTAGTAGTCAAACCGTCTCTTCCAGAGGTTACTTTTTCCATCCATGTGAATAAAAATCTCTCCTGTGTCAGACTTTTCCTCTGGCATTTCCTCAGGAAAAGCAGGGGCCGAGCACTCCATATGTGTGGCATTTGCTGTGCCAGTGCAGACCTAAAATGAAACAGTGTTTGAAAACACAACTACTGTCACAGTTTGGCATAATAAGCAAGCAACATTCAGCTACAGAATGAGTGTGACTGGATGAAATTCACAAACAGGTCTGCAAACTGTAGTTTATATGTTAATGTAAAAGCATTTTATTCTTTTGTATTTCTCTGTTGACCAGGTGTCAACTGAACTGAAATGAAAGCAGTTTTGAAGAATGTAGCGTGTCTATAAACTCTTACAAAAGAATACAATCAAAGAGTTAACCTACTTGTTGAAGAGACTGCAGGTACGAATTTTTGGAGGTGTACTGAATCACAGTTTTGTGTGCAGAGTCAAGATTCTGACCTTCTATCACCAGCTTGGATCCACTGTATTACAATGGAAGTGAGCATGTTAATAATAACATTGACTTGTTTTATGATGAGGCAATGGAGGATATTTTTTAAGAGAGATATCACTTAATTTGGAGTCCATTAATAAGACCAGAGTAGACTGGGGTCAGTGTCCTACCTTTGGATGCTGCAACCAGGTTGTACAGAGGTTATAGCTGGGTTTTTCTTGTAGAAGAACATCTTAGAGGTATTCACTTCAAATCTGTCAATGATGACTTTCACAGGTACTTTCCCAACACCTGTTGCAGCTGCTGTGTGGCACACGACTGAAGACACAGTCCCATTTCCATCAGAAGTACTGAAAAGAACAGAGATCCTAATTAAACCCTTAATTAACCAGAACACAGTGAAATGACTGTGTTGTAAACCATAGTCATGTGTTAGCAGAAGAAGCAGTATTCTGTGTTTCTCACCTCTGAATGTTGCACTTTTTGTCAGCAAAGAAGACTTCTCTCTGTATCCCAGAATTCAGATATCTGCCTGTCAGAGTAACTGATGTTCCTCCAAACACAGGTCCATAGTCAGGCCGGATTTCTGTTATGCTAGGCTCCTGATAAGACGGATGTGAAATATTTTATTCCTTAACACTGTTACATTACATTATACATATCATTTATGCAAATAAAGAATATATACAGAACTAATTTTACAACTGTTTCAATTACATTAAAGTTTCTCACCACGAAAGAGAAGCCAGGAATCTGAGCTGTGCCTTCTATTGAGTAGCGGCCCTCCACTTCCCCCTCGTGCACTTCCAGAGTGATGGTGAGGTTCTGGTTCGGTTTAGGTGTTTTCTGAATCTTGCATACTAGCCTGTATTAAGGACACAAGGAATGATGTGTCTATGAAGTCTGTAGATACAGATATTACAGTGAGCCAGCAGCCATACACAGGAGAAAGCAACATATTTAGTGTATGCCTCCTCTCAGACTTAGAACAGTCTTTGAATGCTTCTATGATACAAAGAAGCCTGAAAATGCTATATTTTTTTATTTAAAAAAAAAATACATTTTGTTAACCACTGTTGCTGTTATTCATTTCTCTCATGATGGGAAAAAGTGTCCACACACTGGATTAGTATTCCTAAAGCAACAACATCAACCAACATCATGCTCACATAATTATATGTACAATTCATGATAGGACTCGATACATAATCAAGATAAGATGTATCATCACTGCAGAGATAATTAGAAAAGTATCTCCATAATTTTTAATAATTTGTTGTAAGAAATATATTCCTGAAAGACAAGTACAGCATAACAAAATAAGACATAATATCATAGATAGATAGATAGATAGATAGATAGAAAACATTTTAACAAATTCAAAAACATTCTAAATATAAATATAATAAATAACTGATAAAAACAAAATTAATTAATTAATATCACTCCTCCCTATTCAACTTGTGGGCTAGTGGCTCTCAGTACGTCCAACAAAAATACTGAGAAAACAAAAACGTGTGGCATTGTGTGCATGTGTGCTACTCACACATCACTACTGCTCTTTTCAGGCAGGACAGTACACGGGGTCCCAGAGCCCACTGTGATGATGTGGGTTTTGCCGCTGATGATGGCAGGTCGCAGAGGAGACTGAAACTCCCAGCCGCACAGCGTCACTTCTGTCTCACCACCAGCGGGTGCCATTTTGGGGGAAAACTGCAGGGAGAAAAGGGTTATCATCCAGATTAGCAATCAGCATCTCAGTACAATCACTTTTTGACTCATGGTGTTTAAACTTCATGCACCTGATAATCAGTTACACCCAGCAGCATATCTATACCTCTGTTATGACCGGTGCGCAGGAGTCTTTGCTCCCCTGTGAAGCACAGTCACGCTGCCTCGAGCATTTTCCCGAACACCAACTACAGTTCATGAAGCGTGGAGCCCTCAAACACATGGAACACGTCATAAAATGTGCACATCCTGGTCCTGCAGAGGGCACCCTAAACATCTAGATCAGGGAGAGAGGAAGACGAGGGTGGAGTAAGCCAGATGTAAAAGAGGAAAAATAATCAAAAGATCAGAAAAATGTGGATTATGCTATTGCTCAACATTATGCACACAGTAACCATGGCTCTCTCATTGAAGTTCTGGAGAAAAGAATCTCTCCTACGGGTGATGACACAGTCAACCAACTGCTCTGCAGAGGCATGTTTAATTCACCTTTTGGCCTAAACGAAGAACTGAATTTATCATGTTTCTTCTAAATGATAACACTTGATGGATGCTGAATTTGTACTTTTTGTACCCTATCTTTGTAAATTTAAGATAAATTTGTGCTCTTTTTCCTACTGATGCAATGATAGCACATGGCACTTGGACATGGCAACTCCCACCCTCGGATCTATTATCAAATAGATCTAAAATCCTGTTCAACTTATTACCCAATCCCAACCTTAACACCATTTGTCCATTTTAACTCTGATGAAGACACAATAGTGGCAACACATTGGTCTGTTTGCATTATTAAAGGCTGCAAATCAATCAGTGTATTCCAGTCCCTAAAAGATAAGCAGTACCTGCAGTAGATGTTACAAAATGTACCTTATTTCCAGCTACGAAGAGAAGTGAATCTGCTGAGTACACAGCTGCTGTCCTGGACACTTCGGCCCCTTCCAGAGAGTAGTTGGCAAAAACAATAGGCCTGTACTGACTAAGAATCACCTAAAACAGACAAAACAAAGAAGTAATGTCACAACGATTTCCCTTTTTGGGAGTCTGCTGCTGCTGCTACGTTTCTTATGAGTAACGAACAAAAAAGCAGAGAAACTTCTTTATCTGGTATAATACATTAAAACTGCAGATGTGAACCCACCAGCACAACACATAATTAATCTACTATTTTATATTGCTACCTGCAGTATCCGTCCATCTGAGGTACCAAAGTGGCCCAGGGTGTGATTCCCAATAGTGGTGACCAGGACAGCAGTGAAAAGGACATCTCTCATCTGCCTGTTGAAGAGGTCCAGTCTGTGGAACGGCACTGACACCAGAGTGGGTCTGGCACTACATGTGTCATTACCTTCAGAGCTCTGTACAAGCATGAGAAACAGAACAAGGGTGTGTTTAGTCAGGAACAGGAATTCAAATACATAGATACAAATTTAAATCTAAAGTATCTCTATCTGCCAGCATCAGTCTCACACATGCACATGCTTGTATATTCTTGTGTGTGTGAGAGAGCAAGAGGGACAGAAAGAGGGAAAATATAATTCATCCATTTAGGGAGGAAGTGCTCTAGCCTTGCCTCAAGTCATGATAAAGCTGTTAGAGGAACAAGGTCATAAAACAGCAGTGACTCCAGCTCCATATGTTGACTTGGTGACTGTATCTCAAATACTGAAACTGAACTTTCCGTACTTCATAAAACAGTAAATAACGGATGTGTGTGGATGGTTGGCAGAGCATGGGTTTCTTTGGTTAATAAAAAGCGTAATTACTCAACAAAAGAGAAAAAAAAAGAGAGAGATAATATGTTAAACTTATAGTAAACATTCCACAGCAAAGCAATTTAGCTGACCTGCCCCAGCATGCCCCTGTTTGCTTCCCACTATTTGAATACTAATAATAATATATTCATGTTGTTTGATCTTTTCAGTCACTTTGTAATTCAGCATTTCAAGCTTGAATACACACAGTATCCAAGTTTTTTTTATCGTACACACCCAATTCTACAAATACTTAACTTGAACTCAGGGAGCATCTCATGTTTCATTTACTGAATGATTTAATGGGTGAATCATTCCTCCCTTACGCCTCATTTCTTCGATATTCTACCTATTTCCTACTAAGATAACATGCGGAAAATGCAGCAACAGTCCAACACTGTCCGTCCCTTTGAAATTCCACCTTTTTATCAGCAGGATTTATAACTGGTGTTAGTTGGCACACATTCCTGTCGGTGTACACATGGCTGTGAGAGCTCAAAGGACACAGTTTGAGCTCCATAAAAGGAAACAGACCACACCTTTATCATTTTGTGGAGCGCCGGGACCTAATGCTCTATTCAATGAAGGTGTCCTGAGATTGAGCTCTGATTGTTATTTAAGGATTTAACCAACCAAGTCATCTTTATCTTCTCATCCCTTTCACCTCTCGTAGCTTGTCAATTAAGGGGTCTAATCATTAAGGCTACCTTCAAACACAGTGACACTTTATAGTAAGGTACACATATTCACCATTAACTAGACGCTTATTAGCATGCATATTAGTAGAATATTGGCTCTTTATTAGTCAGCATAAATCAGTTATTAATGGCTTATATTGCATGACCATATTCTACAACTACTATGCCATTAACTAACTGAAACTCAACAGAGCAGAGAAACTGTGTGGGAATGCACAGGTCACACTACTGACTCATCCAGCCCCTCCCAGTTCCCTCAACTCGCACACACCTTCATCAGAGTTGCCACATGCATGCGATACTGCAGTAGTCAAGATTTACTTTAACTGCGGTGCTCCAATCTGAGTTTAATGATAAACTACATTGTTCCGATCACAGGTTAATTACACAATGTTTGTCTGGATAGGTCATTTCCTGTCTGGGTGTTAGGGTGAACTTTGCACTGTTACTCTGTTCTGATTGCAGTAGGGCATTAAAAAAAAGTTGTACTCACTTCATGTGGGCAGCTCTCGCATGGCTGGAAGTGACAGAGACCTCTAGACAGCTGCTCTGAACCTGACTTGCAGCAGGCCTCCACGCCTTCTTCAATTGCTTGATTTACTTTACTCAAAGGGAAGGCACACAGGGCGGAGTTTTTTTTAGGCTGACCATGCTCATTCACCTCTGCAAACACCCCGTACAGAATATCTTCTGTCTCGGCCACCCTCAGCTCGTCTGCTAAGTCCTTCCCTGCTCGCCCAAAGTGTGCTGCCTGTAGCCCATTATACACAATATTCCTCAAAAATTCTCTCCGTCTCCTCCTGCGCTTTGGGTCGTACCGGCACTCCAGCACCACCTCTCTGTACATCCACACCTCTGGAATTGATATCGGAAGTCGTCCCAGACGAGTTTGAAATGCGGACTTGGGTTTTGATGGATTTTCTCTCTGCAGGGACAGAAAGTAGACATGGTCCTTGGTCGAGAAGCTGTAGATGTAATCAATCTTGTAAGAGTCCCGTAAACTGGGGAGCACTGTCAAGCCATTCATGACCATATGAAAGCCATCTTCAGTTGCAAGTGGCCTCAGCACTGATATTGACCTTCTTGGATATCTCTGTGTCACTCTGTCATTGACAGAGGATGCCACAAAGAAGAGTGATGTAGCTGCGTGTTCAACAATGGTGACCTTGGTGCCAAGTGGGCTGGCCAGACAGTCTGGACAGTAGGTCGGAGAGTTTTGTTTTTTTTGGTATAAACACTGAGGTTTAGGCTGTTGTAAGCTAATGTCAATATAGTAACAGATTCCATGCTGAGTGCTCCCACAAATGTACAAGTAGGGAAAGAGAGATCCAGCAGGATCCAAAAGCAGAACCTCATTGTCTGTATCCACTGGGTCCCCAGGATCTGCTTCTATGTCACACACTTGACAGGTTTCACAGTCAGGACTGCCAACAGGTCCAGTTTTCACCTCCCATATTTTTTCCATAGCATCGTTGATAGCCTCTATCACATTCTGGCATGCAACATACACCTCTGGCTGTTCCGAATCCCAGTTCACTGCTATGTTCTGTATAGATTTGTCTGTTTTGAAGTGGGGGAGGGAGTATTTTACAGTGAAATCCACCAGAGTGGGTGGAGCAGAAGCACATGTGTGCTGTCCTGAGGCAGTTTGTGTTTGTATCCATATGCATGCTGTCAGCAACAAGGCCCAAGTGAACATCTCCAGGGTACAGTCCACTGTAATTGAGTGTTACCTATAAGACACGTTCCTCAAAGAGAACATTCTGGAGAAGGCTCCGGCAGGAGCTCTGTGCGAGAAGACAGAGAAGGAATGTTGAGATTTAACAGACAGAGAGCAGTAGCATTTGATTTTCACATTTAATAGCGATTCACTGCTTCTGAAGTGGAGGTAGAGACTGTAAACATTTAGCTTGTTTAAACTGAGAAATGTGGCATGAGGAACTGAGGAAAGAGGAAAAACTATCAGCTGCTGTTTTCCCTATGAGCCCTGTGATTAAGTAGCTGCTGCTTTTTAAATAAGGCAACTACAATTTGGACTTGATATGGAAAATTTGGCCTATAGATGAAATATTTGTGAGACCTACTGAGCCATAATGCTGATAACAAAGCAAGTGGAAAAGACTAAGTTGGTAGAGTCAAGGTAAAAATCTGCTGTGGGCAAGACATGACTTGCTGCAACATGTGGAGCAACTATAGAAATGTTCAGGCCGCTAGAGCCATACAGAGAATAAACATGGTTACTAAGCCTATTTTGTTTTTTCAAAAAACTAAAAATATCAGAATTAACGGGTAGGCCTACTCATATGTGCAAATAATTGAATAGTTATCGTGTAATGCCAATTTTAATACACCACTGGGCAATTGATAACTGTTTCAAAGTTTCAAAACAAGATGACATTAAAGTAAAGATTACAATAATTAGGATTATTATAATATATAATAACTGCTAAAGTTACATCCCGTGTGCAGGAAGTCGCAACTAGCGCAACAGCTGATGATGAGCTGGGGATTACAACAAAAGTGCGCTGGGCCATTCATTTACGTGGACCAATGGCAACTGACATCCTCCTAAAAATAAATAAATAAAATGATTATAATAATAATCTTACCTGGCTTGGAAAACGGGAGAGGTCGCTGTAAAACGTCCAACAGTCTAATATGTGAATTATTTTCTTGATTTCCTGTGTTAGTGAAGCTCAACTCACTCACCTGACAGCTACGGAGTCTCACAGAGAGTTGACACTGAAGTCTTTGAGCGACTGAAGTTGTATTTGAATCAATGCTGTCTATGGATGAAAACAGGATCTTACACCCACCTTCAAAATAATGGCGCGGCAGGAAAAGCCCTCAAGGTGAACCGTTGTCTATTTTATTTATGATTGCTGATATGATTTTATCCTATTTTAATCATTAATAGGCCTAATAGTAAGATACATACGTTTATCCTGAGAGGGAGAATTTACATGGACATGAAATAGTCTAGAGAAATTAAGAATTATTTAAGATAATCAAAACAACGAAATAAGAAATAATGGAAATGACATTCAAAAGCTTTAGATATCATAGACATTACAATACTCGATTTGTTAATGTTGTTAATTATGAAGAAGTAATGAGAGTTATAAGATTACAACTCTTATATTAAATATAATACTTGTAACATAACAATTAAACTCATAATTTTTTACAATAAGATGGATGAAAAATTATACAAAATGTAAACTTCCTTGAACTAGAGATGAACTGTGGTTAGTTTTAAATTTGTAGCCTGTAAAGATTTAAGATTTAAGATTTACTATTTTAATTAATTCAAATCGTCCCCATACTCGTTTATCCACTTACGTTGCAACATGTTCGAGAGACACAGATTTCAGATTTATTTTGAAAGTTGAAGAGCGGAAATGCTATGTCATCCTGAATCCTGAGTCCGATATTCCTCCAGCGGGTGCTGCTCTCTGTCAAGCCGCACCCGCAACAAGGAAGTATAAAATAGTTGCGAAATATGACTGCTTCATAAATATCCTCAACGTTTCCTTCGCAAGAGTGTCATATTACATCACCCACTGTAAATCTTTCCACCCAGGCGTTACTGTGGAAAACGATGTGGAAAAACTTTCTCAAAGTTTTAAAACAGTCTGTTCTATGCTTGTAGGATGTATGCCAAAAATGCATTGCTTTTAGATGAGGAATGAAGTTACTTTCGAGATAGAGACAACTCCAGCCAGGAAGCTATGAGAAGAATGTGTTCACTCTCCAGTCAGACCACCTCCTATAATGTGAGCAATGTGGCCTCTAACAGAGAGTAAAAGTACTACTGACATAAAGAAGAAATTATGGATATTGGCAATTAAACCATTATAAAATGAGCCGATTAACCATCCTACATGTCCAAATAGATATGTTATAGTTGACAAGAAGCATTATAAAACCAAAAGTTAAACATCTACCACTGAATCCAAAGTTCAGTAATCACAGACTGTTTGTAAACCAGAGGAAAATTTACTTTAGAGTCATTCTTCACACTTTCACTGATCCAAACCTCTAACTACAAAGATATATTAATAATACTCACTCTCACTGAGGGCTTAGATATGGAGAGCAAATCAAACAAACTGTCAAAAACAACAGTGTGAAGGTGATCACATCTGGTCCTTGAGTTTTTATCTGTTTTTGTGTAACTTACAAGGGTCAGGACAAACAAACATACAGGCAGTACACTATCTCTCCAGAGATATATTAATGTCTGGGATCAAATTCCCAGAGGAGTTTTTAAAATAAACTGCCATAAAATGCTTATTTCCCACAAGTTTTGTGAGTGGCAAAGCCTAAAAAACAAGTAAGTTGTTTTGTTGTTTTAAATATCATTGCATTATTGTTTATAGGTGTAGCTGTATAACTCTATCCCATTTTAATATAAAGAAAAAAACAGTGAATGACATACCTACAGTAGAACAAATGGTCATATATATATTATATGTTGTTTACATGGATGAATGTGAAACAGCAAAGCAGCAAAGATTAAGTTTTGTGTTTAAGGATGTTTTTAAATTTGTTAATTATTTAAGGTTACAGAGACAAAACAGTAATACTATCAATAAATCATTTCATTAACATAAGACACTGTGAAATGTTGATTGAAAATAATTACGATAAATGTTTACATATATTTTGTTTTATATTCAGTGGTTGTTAGCAATCAGTGAAATAATGTGACAGTGTGAATAAGTGTAAGCTGTGCTTCTCATTCTTGAAATACAACTTTGGCAACTTTAAAGCAATAAAAAGTTCATGTAATAAGTAATTAGCTCCAGTGACAATATGACCTAAGCTTGTTTTGAAAATACAAAATGCTGTCTGTTTTATAATGTAATGCAATAATTTTATCATACTGAATCTGATTCCAGGTTTCTTTTTATAGCTTGTTGTCTCAAAGTTGTTTGTTCCTCATTCACACACAACAATGAGCTTGCTGGTTTGTCATTTTACTGCCTCAACTTGATATGCAATGATGAATCATTTCTGGTCACTCCTAGGATGCAGTATTTTCTTCTGGAAGGGATTTTTTCACCAGACTGAGATTGTTGAAATGAATGACAAATGCATTAAGCAATATAAGGTGTCTCATTAAGTTCCATGGTGATAATAACACCATGGAAATTACACCCTCCAGACATTTTTTAAGACGTATAAAATACTAATAGTAATACTAAAATAGTAATACTAATACTAATTTGTCTCTGATATGTTTTTTTTCCACAACAATCTACCGTTAAATACTTAAAAATGTCCTAATAGTACATCTACTCCTCCATCTTCATTAAACAAAATCCACAATATATATTAGTCTAAATATTCTTCATTTCAAAATTCTAATTCTGGACACTCTGCTTTTATCTGTGCTTTTGTACGTTTTTGTCCGCATTTGCTCTGTGTTTATGTGATTCTATCTGTGCTTATGTGCTTTTGTATGTTTTCTTTTAATGTTTCTGATATGCCATCAACCTGCCAGAGACTGCAGATTAAACTAAATCTAGCACATTTACATAGTGTTGATTAATGTGCATTGTTTATTGTAAATAAACTTCAAACTTTAGTTCTTATAAATGACTTTCAAAGCTTAGGCTTTAACCCCCCCCCCCAGGCTTTACCTGAAAATAACAACAAATGTCTTTTCATTTAGACCTAGAGAGAGCTTTCACAACAAGTTAGACTCTCAAATCTTCCAGATCTACCTTCCGACCCACATTAAAACAGGCTTTGTATCATACTCTGACGTTATATTTGTGCCTCATTCCTGAGCGGGCAGAGGGCAAAAACAACCAATCACAGCACGTAGGCTAAAATTCTGCCCTTCTCCTATTGGTTGATTTTGTGGCACATTGTAATGGTGCCAGGTAGAGCAAGTGTGCAGGTAATGTTGAGTGCGCATAGAGTGGAAAGTTTAAGACAGTTTGTGTGCAATCTGCCAGCGCACCCACAAAGAGTCTGTGAGAGGGCATATGTAATATAGGTAAATTGGGTTATTACTGTATTTTAATAAATAAATATAACAGCAAGCATGCACGTTTTGAGTGTAATTTCTATTCAAAATATAATGCAAGTGCTTCTGTGCTTCAAATCTCCAGCTAGTCGTTTAGGAATGAGGCACATATATAACCATAAACTGGTGGTTACAGCTCAATAAACGGTCCTCAGTCGTCCTCTGGTGGCCAGGTCAGGAACTATTCCTTTGCACACAAACCTCGGAAAAAGAAATCTAATAAAACGAAAGTGAAATACTTTAAACTGTTACCTCATAATTTACCCCACCCGGTTTTCTTTCTGTTCCTAGCCTGGTCTGTTCGGTTGTTGTTGTTGGAAGGTGTCAGTCCAGCTGATCCTTCAGTTCAAACCACTGACAGCATCTATAAGTCCAAACTGCTCCTCTCGTATTCCTGTCAGCTGCAAGTGCAACATGTCAGAAATCGGTGAAATCGATGAAGGCTTCTACTCCAGGCAGTTGTAAGTAGGATACTCCACATACTGGTGAGGTATCTGTTCAACTTTAAAGACTGGTGGCCCTGACGCACTTGTTCTTTGACTTACACAGGTATGTTCTGGGTCATGATGCGATGCACCGAATGGGCACAGCCAGCGTCCTCATTGCAGGCATGCGTGGTCTTGGAATAGAAATAGCCAAGAATGTGATTTTGTCTGGAGTGAAGTCTGTCACCATCCAGGATGAAGGCCAGACAGTGTGGACCGACCTGTCCTCTCAGGTACCAACCGTGTTGATCTGTTAAAATAAAACACTTCTCTTTTAGTTGATAATGTGTCAGGTGTAATTAATAGACTATTGTTTCAGTAAAGAACTTCTTGTTACAATTTAACACTCTTTAATCTCAGATTTGGTATGATATAATGGCAGGTATTAATAATAATTGCCTAAATTTAAAATTTTGCTCATCACAAAGGTTAATATCTTTGGTTTTATAGGTGAAAAGCAGATAGGTATGAATGCAGTATGTTGGTTATTATAAATGGCCTATTTAAAGGAAGTCTTTACTGTAACTGTTAGTTGACTGTATGCTCCCCCCACACCCCTGCAGCAAACTATTACCATAAAAGGATAATAAACAGGAAACAAGAAAATCTATCACAACGACTTGTAATTCTGAGTAAAGATTCATTATAGACCCGATTCTAGAGGTCCCGATGAAGACCATATGATACAGTCAAATGCTCCAGAACAAACAAGTAGGTAGAAAGTGAACGTGGAAGTGTTTCTTAAACCTGTAATGTCATTGTCGCCACCAGTTTTTCCTGAAGGAAGCCCATCTTGGTCAGAATCGAGCCACATGTTCCATACAACAGCTGTCTGCCTTAAACCCACGTGTGCGAGTGTTTGCCCACACTGGGCCGCTGGATGACACCCTGCTTCTGCAATTCCAGGTACGTCACAGTCATACTTAATGGTGCTTAAAGACTTCATGTTGGTATGCATTAAGGTTGAGATGACAAAACCATATGTTTTTGCTTCTGTGTCTGTCTCTAATTTCTGTCTGATATGGTTTAACCACAAAAAAACGACATAATGGAAGGTGGTGGTCCTCACTGACTCCTCACTGGATGATCAGAAGCGTTTTGGTGAGCTCTGCCATTTGCATGGAATCAAGTTCATTGTAGCAGACACCAAAGGACTCTGTGGGTAAGTGGGCAAGACAAACTGTTAGAAATCTGAGTGGATTTACTTTATAAAGCATTGAAGAAAGAAGCGAAACCTTGTGGTTTATTTGCAGTCAATTGTTCTGTGACTTTGGGGAGGAGTTTGAGGTCTTGGACCGGGATGGAGAGGCGCCTGAATCAGCGACCATCCAAAGCATCTCTAAGGTAATAACCTTCCATGTGTTGCCATAATAAAATCCTCTCTAACACATCCATTTAAAACCTGCTCATCCTGCTGGGCGTTGTGTTGGGTAACATTCAACATTTAACCTGCACGTCTTTGGACTGTAAAAGGAAATGCACATAAGGAAGTACGTGCAAACTCCACACAGAAAGCCTCTCTGACTCGTCTAATTAAAACAAAATCAATTCTAAATCCAAAGGTTTTCTAAAACGTGTAGGAAATACGCTTACTTGAACATAATTAATAGAATATTTCTTTCAGATCTGAAGGTTGTCAAACTGACTTTATTTTAGGCGGATCCTGGAGTGGTGCTCTGTACAGATGAGCAGAGTCATAAATTTTCAGATGGCTGCAAAGTGTCCTTCTCTGAAGTCCAAGGCATGACGGAGCTCAACAGCATTGGCCCAGTGGAGATCAAATACCGTGGTTAGTGTTACTTTGCCTCGATTACTTTGTTCAGAGTTTCTTTACTCAGCTGTTGAAACACAGTGTGCTCATGAACCACACACTGGCCTTCCACATGCAAAATGTTCTACCTTTCCATCCCGGTAGAATTTAATAGTTGTCACCTCTGTCACCAGGCGAATACTCTTTCAGCATTGGTGACACTTCAGCCTTTTCTGAGTATAAACGGGGTGGAATAGTGACTGAGGTCAAACAACCACTAAGGCTACATTTTGTAAGTATCAACATTTTGTTTTAAGTTAGTTTCACTTTTGCTTTTGAAAAAAATCCCCCCTCTGTCAGTAAGGTGATTACAACACAAATTGCAGAAACCACTGAGTGAGGCTCTACTGGACACCAAGCTGCTGGTAATGAATGATTTTGGAAAAATATCAAGGCACAAGACCCTGCACTTGGCTTTCCAAGCCCTCCATAGCTTTGTGAAGAAAGAACAGCGACTCCCTGGTCTGTGGTCACAGGTCAGTGACAGCATATTCAAGTAATTTTACAAAACAAATGATATGATAAGTAAAAAATAGTAAAGTAAAACAAGTTAATCAGGCTTTTGTGGTGAAGTGTGATCATCAAAGCAATTTACAGGATTGTTTCCACTTGCTTCTTGACATTATTCATCCCATGCAGCCAGATGCAGATGCCCTGCTTGACATGGTGAGAGAGCTGAATACAGTCGCCAAGCTGAAACAGCTGGATGAAGCTGCTGTGCAAAAACTGTCCTACACAGCCCGGGGTGACTTGGCTCCTATGAATGCTTTCATTGGAGGCCTCGCAGCTCAAGAAGTTATTAAGGTGAAGTTGATGCCTGTACCATTATTTTCATCTCGATGGAGTGTAACACCGCTATTGTTACATTGCCTATATGAATTATACATAACTTAACACTTACTGCGTGGTAGTGGTGGTGTATATAGCTGACTTTGTTTTGTTCTGTGCACTCTATAATGTTCCTGCAGGCATGTAGTGGCAAATTCATGCCTCTTCAGCAGTGGCTTTATTTTGATGCATTTGAGTGCCTCCCTGAAGTAGAGGACCAACTGGCCGAGTGCTCCCGTCTTGAAGTATGTTAAGAGATTCCTCAATTCAAACAATTCAAATATATCAGTTAGTAACATTAAATCAGACTTCAGATTAAGGTAAATTGAATATTGTTGTCTTCTCTGACTGAAGGGCACAAGATACGATGGACAGATCGCTGTGTTTGGCTCAGCTTTCCAGAAGAAGCTTGAGAGGCAGAAGTATTTCCTGGTGAGGGCAGGTTTGGTATTTGTCCAGCAGGGGGCACACTATGCACTGGAATACACAGGCTCCATCTGTGTTTTCCTTTGATCTTGTCTGGTGTTAATGATGGCACATGCAGGAAACGGCTGTGATTCAGGTGGCATTTCCTGCCAGCGTTGACCTCTTGGTGTGCAGGGACTGTTCGACAGTGCCAAGCCCTTTCTCTGTTTCCTTTGAAAGTGTTATTTTTACTGTTGTTTACTGGCTGTATGTGTGTGTAAGAGAGACTGCATGTGTTTTTTTTATCACAGTAAAACCTCTTTTACCACAGCAAAGTATCAGGAAGTAAAACAAGTAACAATAGATTAATACTTTTATACTACATTGTAAAAGACAAAGTATCTTTTTTTTTATCAGTAAAACATAGCTTTAATTTGATGACATTCACTTGCATTACACAAGCTAATTTTGTCATTTTGTCTCTCGTCATTTTTCAAGGTTGGAGCTGGTGCTATTGGCTGTGAGCTTCTTAAAAACTTTGCTCTTATTGGGCTTGGTGCTGGAGAAGAAGGGCACATTACAGTAACAGATATGGACTTCATCGAAAAATCCAACTTGAACCGACAGTTCCTGTTCAGGTCTCAGGATATTGGGGTGAGAAACTGCACGACACCTCCTCTATGCGGTGAAGAATCTCATGTGCCATCATAGGTCACTGGTTCTTATTTGCCCTGGTTATGTGCAGGGCTTTACTTTAATGGGGCAGGCTGGGGGTAAAGGTATTGTGTGGTAGCTTGTTACAGATTACATATAGTTGGCATGTTCCATCATTTGTGTCTGTTTTGTTTTGCAGTTTACTTTAGAAGTATATCAAACAGTTGATCTCTAACGTCTGAGTAAACAACTACCAGTGTAACAGCTTATGTAATACATAGTTGAGTGCAGTTAGTGTGTATGCTGGCAAAAATCTTTAATTGCTCTGAGATTCTGGCAAGAAGTGTGTTGATGCTACTGTTATATAATAGAAGAGCAGATAAACACTCAGTGTAGTGTCTTGATAGTACAGTAAACATACAGTATGAATGATTGAAAATCAAGAATATTTTTGTTAGGTGTTAGATTTAGCTAATGTCTTGAAATGGTGTTAGAGACAAATCTTGATCAAGTATACAATAACATGTTATGCAATTATCCCTCCATCTTTCATTACCACTATTGTCTGTGTCTAATTTGACCTACATTGCTCACATACATTATCTCCCAGACACACCATCCATTTGCTCACTTGTCCATAAACAGAAACCAAAATCAGAAGTTGCAGCCAAAGCAGTGCAAGAGATGAACCCACAGATGAAAATCACCGCTCACCAGAATCGTCTGGACCCTGACAGTGAAGCAGTGTTTGATTACAACTTCTTCATGGGTCTTGATGGAGTGGCTGCAGCCCTTGATAATGTGGAAGCTAGTGAGGGCACTTACTTTGTCTAACAATTATTTTCTTAGGTTCTCATTACCACAGTGATTGTACCAGAGCATTTACAGTAATCGTTTGCCTATAGATGCTCATAAAAAGGCATTTTAATCCTTATTTTTGCTGCCCAGGGATCTATCTCGATCAACGCTGCATTCAACACCAGAAGCCGATGCTGGAGGGAGGAACTCAAGGAAGCAAGGGTCATACTTTGGTGGTGGTGCCTCACCTGACAGAGTCTTATGGGCAGCCCAAAACTAACGCCAATAATGCCATCCCACTGTGCACTCTGAAGAACTTCCCTCACCGCATTGAGCACACCCTGCAGGTACAATGTATTTCTAATTAAGTCTAATTAAGCTTTATACTAGAGTTACAGAGATTGATTTACTTAATTTTGCTTCAAAAAGTACACTGAATAACCAGAAACAGTTCAAAATTATTATTATTATTATTATATATATAATATGTTAATCCACCTCATTTGCACATATAGATGAGCAAAACATTAGAAACATTTTCTTATATAATTAAGTCTAATATAGTGTCTAGCCATGCTAGCAGTACTGCAATTACATAGTGAGTGCTTTGAGCTAAATGTGAAACTGAAACTAAAAGCCATTTTGGTGTTATTAGGATTTTAGCATGCTATATTTGCTAATTAGCATTTAACACTAACTCTAGCTGAGTGTGATGGAAATGTCATTAGTTTTGCTGGTATGTGGCCTATAAAGTATTCGCAATTTTTTTTTTAAAAAGATCAACTGTCTCATATACTACTATCAGGATATAGTAAAAGTTTCAAAAAGTTAATATTTATTAAAGTTACCTACTGCAGCTTTAAGGAGACACATTTTGTTGCTACCCACTAGTTGTCAAGACATTTTACTAACAAACAAAAGTGTCAACCTCATGGTGGCACTAGGAAAGGTCAGGAAATCACCACACTCATTAGGGATCATCTTCTGGGAACTATGAATGTCTGTACCCGGTTCATGTCAATCCATCTGATAGTTGTGTAGATATTACAATCTGGACCAAAGTGGTGAATCAACCAACAGACAAAAAGACATTGCTATGTTTATACAGCCTCCCCTGCTAGCTATTTTCTGGTCACTCAGTGTATTCTTTTGCAGTATCAAAAGTCATTATCTTAACCATTGTATATTTATACAGACATGTTTTAATTGACTTTTCTTCACACTAATTACACTCCATTCAGTGGGCCAGAGACCAGTTTGAAGGACAGTTTAAACAAACACCTGAAAATGTGAATCTCTTCCTGAGGTAAGATATGACACCACCCTCATGTCATTTACCTTTTACCAGAACAAGTGCTTCCTCCAACAAACGTGAGAAGTTCACTCTGCTCTGCTCACTTAATGACCACTACTTTCTCATTTTATAATGCTTGACTTCTCTCTTACAAAGCATTCCACCAAACCTACAAAAGCTAATGAAGTGATTCAAGCTCATTATTTTGTTTTAGAAACAGGAAAACATGTGGTTGGCTTTTAGCAGTAAACCCCTTGTAAAAAATTACTTAAACAGTCTGTCTTGCCATGGCTGTACTCTGCTATGTATCTTTAACAGCAGCTCTAAGACTAATGTCTCTCAACTAATTAGAGGCTTTCTGGTTTAGAAGCATCTACTGAATGGAAAAAGAGATTAGATGAATGCAGATAAAAGTACTATATCGTGTCAAAGGGACGGTACTGGTAATATTCATATTAATTTGAGAGGTAAGATTTGAATGAATGAATCTCTGAGTTTGTTTATTGTAACAAGAACCTCAAACAATATCGAGAGACTGAAAAACAGTAAGGTTTACCACAAAGCATTGACCTAATTATGATGTAGCAGCACGTCAGTGACAGATCTGAGCCTCTAGCCCAAACTTTGTCTGAGCTTTGAGCCTCGGAGCCCTCCTAATCCAGCAGTGTTTTGAGTTGTCTCTCTGTTTGTTTTGGTGAGATTTGACATAATCCACCCTCATTGTAAAGTACTTGCACTCTTTCTCGTGCCTTTAAACAGAAGCAAAAATCACAACTCAAGCAGAAATTGGTTCACACAGCCATTTATGTTATTTGGAAATAGGAACAGGTTTTATGCATTTAGGAGTACTCTAATAACCTGCTTTCTTCAGAGACCCCTTTGTATTGCAGTCATTAAACATGTTTCTGGACATTTTCATGAGGCAGGTCAGCTACATGTCATAGTCCAATAGGTTTTTGGTTTTTGGTTAATGAGGTTATGGAAGAGAACAGTCACGTTCTGTTATGCCGCCCCCCCCCATGCAGCTCTATGGAGAACTATGACTCAAAATGTTCCAGTTTGGACATGTTTAGGTGTAACTGCACTCAGAGGAGGCAGATTCCTTTTATTTGCGTAGTGCAATGCCGTGTACGGTGAGCTGGCACATGATAATGGTGCAACAACTGTCCTGGCATGTGGTATGAAGTTTCACTGACCAGCACACTACAAGCTTACTAAACACTTCCTTCCCTTGCTATTAGTCCACAGCCGAGCATCATAGGAATCCCCTCTGAGTCAATAACAAGACTACACCCTAATTTACAAAGATCTGTTTAGTCATTCTCATCTGTGCTTCATAGAACCAAATATTTTTCCATGAGGACTTTCCCTGTTTTCATTTTTCAGGTCATATGTTTTTCCTAACTGTTAGCCAGACACAGCTGCCAAAAACAAACACAGCAAGTCAAAGCTTTTAATCTGGAAGTTAGAAAATGAGAGTGTATTTTACAACGAGACATATAGATGATACTTGCCCCGTCTTGTCGTTTTTTACGTCTAGTGATTATTACCTTCCGTATACTGTATATCTGTCATTAAATCAAAAGGAATTCCTGTAATGTTTCCTGTAGCGATGAAGGGTTTGTGGAGCGGACTCTTGGTCATGGAGACGCTGAGGCCCTGGAGGTTCTTGGGGGGGTGTGGAACAGCCTGGAGGACATAAAAGATGGAGGACAACATCCAACGAGCTGGGAGGACTGTGTGAGCTGGGCACGTTGCAAGTGGGAGACTGTCTATAACAACGATATCCGCCAGCTTCTGCACTGTTTACCTCCTGAAAAGGTAAAATCACACCAGTGGAAAAATAACAACTCTACCTAAAGCCAAGGATCATTAACCTGTAATTTATCTGTACGGACACAGAGTGGCACTGTTGTGTATGTAAGGTTCTTGCGTATCAATCAAGTAAACACAGCAATATGGCATTAGCACAAAAGGAATACCAATACGTTTTTTATTTTTCGAATTTCACTTCATGAAGTAATGCAGCATATTTTCCCCGGGCTCAGAGACCACTATTACCCTCGTCTGAAACCTGAACCCTGAAAGCCACTGCTGATAAATATCTCTGAGCGTTTGTAATCTGGTGAAGCATCCAGACAGAGTGATGTCACATGTTGCTGTCACACCTGGGGGGGGACGGATCAGTATCAACCTAAACAGACCCTCACTAACCCCGGGTCCCAGTCCAGCAACTGGCTGCTTCTTCCCTCATTATAGGTCCCTGCAGGGTAATAGAAATTCCTCTGACCAACAATGATTTTCTTCCATTCATGTCTGCATAAGACTGTGCCTATAGCAGGGCACAAAATTTCCCTGTATGACTCCAGAGAAAAACCTTTGGTATTATAATGCCATATGCTGATAAAATACAGCAGTTCTCATTTGTAAAAATCCAGAAAATGTTATGACCTTTGTGTTTAAACCTTATAATCACAACTCACCGTAGAGAAACTGTTTTTTTTTTGCTTCTCTTTTTTTTTTCTTTCATAGTTCTCTTTGTCCTAATTATCTTTGGAAGAGTCACGTTTTCAATGTGGAAAATCACTTACGACCACAAACTATCTGAGGAACTATGATAAGGCCGCTAACGTCAGTTAACGGTCGCAAACCGTCAGTCATGACAGATGACCACACATTTACCATAACATCTACTTTGTTGGGTGTGAACCTCCACATAGAAGTGTGTGTTTAAACTTTGACACATGGAACAATGGATGGATCTGAACCAAAGATGCTTTGGGACCTTCTTTATCCGACACTGATCAGTTTCCACCAAGGCTCAAGTCAGTGTACAAGAAAGAAACTTACAATGAGAGACTGGCCAGTATAAGATGAGGCCTGTAATTAAAGATTAAAAAGGCCTTATATTATAAGTGCAAACAGATAATGTTTGTACAGTGGATCCTGTATTTATCCAGTAGCCCATTCATTACTGTCATTGTCTGCTGGTTACTGAAGTTACTGCAGATAATAGAAGAGGGCTAAAACTAGTTGAACAGTAAATTAATTGAAGGTAATGTTTTTATCATTGATTAATCATTCAAGTCAGGTTTTTTTTCTCGGTTTAATATAATTGTGAATTTAGTAACAATGGTCGAACAAAAAAATATTTAACATTTTTCAGTATTTGTAATGTATCTTGGATACAATAAATTATTAATCAATTATGAAATAATAATTGATAGAAGTCAGGTCAGTTGTATGTATTCTGGCCTGTTTTGGAGGATCGGAGAACATTTTCTAATCCAGAAAACAGAGCATTGATGTATGATTCAACTCATATGATTTATTTCTTTATTTTATTATTAAAATATCAATATCATATTATTTGTTAAGAAAAGGACAGGACCGGGAGACTCTCATTCTTAAACTATGTGGTTTCTTCTTTTTAATTGACCTTATGTTTCTGCCCCTAAACTGTCTGAATCCTGAATGTCAAAAGGAGAATGCTGTTGATGCCTTTTGGCCGGTATAGAAAGTACCCCTGCAGTAAAAACTGGCACCAGCATTAGGAGACTCTCTCTTTCCCAGCATATGGACCATTTGGCAACATCAAAGCTCTCAGCCCCTTTGTTCCTTTATCAGACGTACAAATTGTGTTGTCAACACACAACTGATAACAATATTACTCTGGCTGTGCCACGGGAAGGTTGTAGGCCTCCTGCTGTGTCTGAAAAATAAAGGACTAAGTGATGTTTTTATCAAGAAATACGCTGATGCTGTGTGTCGGATATGATGTAAGGTAAATTTGTAACAACTGTTTCAGAAAATAAAGTGTTTAAGTTTGGAATATACTATGTTGTATGAAGAGGAACACAGAGTTATTTTTGTCAATACAGGAATCTGTGTACAAGTGACTCTGATCAGCTGACCATTGGTCTAATGGGATCTTCTTCTGCTTCTCTATAGGTGACTGCTACTGGTCTACCCTTCTGGTCTGGATCCAAGAGATGCCCTCACCCATTGACCTTTGACCTCAAAAATGTGAGTAGTGTCTGGTCCGATGCCTCTTGCAGCAGTAATCCTGACATAAACCCTAAAACAGTAGACAGGAATGACTCAAAAATGCCACAGTATTTGGTGATGAGCCTTCGCATTCCTCCTTTATCTGGTCTGATAGTGGCTCTTCCTCACTCTGACCATATACTGGGTTCTTATCTCAGCTGTGACTGCCACTTAACCTGCATATGGACAATGAAGGTGTGATAATGATCTGACCTCCACACATGTTCACATCCTTGATAACCAAGTTGATTTCTACATACTCTTAATATAACCTGATATTTAGCTGAAAATACTGTAATTTGCAGGGTTGTAATGGTGCACTTATAGAGAAAAATTGACAATTCAAAGTGTCCCTCAAAGGAGATTTGCTTATCACGTCACCTTTGCTGCTGTCTCTGTACTGTCAACATTTTATTAAATTGAATGCCGTGTTGTACTCTTGTACTATTGTAGAGAAGTTAAATAATTGTAAAATGTGGATTGCTACCATGCGGTAAGCTGTAGTGACTGCCACAAGATGCAATGTATGTGTGTATTTGTTGAGCGAAAGAGAGATGTAAGTACCTATCGTTACAGCTATCTGTTCTGTTCAGGGAAGTAATTTGGCCTTAATTCACTACCTGAATATCTTTCTGCCCCTATTGTTTATTTTACAACATCCCGTTTACAGTTTTACCCTTAGGCAGGTCTGCTATATAGACTCAGTGCAGAATCAGTTTAAAATCACCCAAATTATTTATTTATTTTAGAATTTCCTATAGCTTGGTCTTTGTCAAGGACAAAGCTATATACTGTATAAAATAAATACCCAAAGAAATTATAGTAGATTTAGTATGTTCAGTGTTAATATGCACTTTATGTTCACTATTAAAACATGACAATAAAGGTTTCAATATAGATAACACTTTATATTTTTATTCTGTGTTTAGACTACCCATATGGAGTATGTGGTTGCAGCAGCTAATCTGTACGGGCAGATCTACGGCATCAAAGGGACAAGAGACTGCACCTCTATCAGAGAAATCTTAGAGAAAGTCCACGTGCCGCCTTTCACTCCCAAGTCCTCCGTGAAGATTCATGTCACTGACAAGGAGATGAAGGAGGCGAAAGAAAGGGACAGTGATGATGCTGGTGAGTTATTTTAACCTGCTGATTTTTCATCTTATTACCTCACTTTCTTACAGTTTCTTTCTTTACTCTCCCTGTGGTCTTTGCACCAGAAAAAGCCCGACTTGAGGAGTTAAAAGGAAAGTTGGCCTCACCATCTATGAAAAGCTCAGCCAAGCAGATGTACCCCATCGACTTTGAGAAGGTAAGAATGCAGCGAAGACCTCTGCTGCACACTCTGCAGAAGCCACAGACAGACTGGCGACTGAGCGTTAGCAGGGAGCTGCACTCAAATCTATAGGTGCTTTCAGGTGCTCTTTTTTCCCTCATTTTTGGGTCCTCAGTGACCCGAATCTGAGCTATTCCTGAACATTCAGAAAACAGAACTTGCTTGTATTCTGTGTTCAATGTTAGAACACCCTGGGGCTAAGATATATATTTTAGAAGTTTCTATCCTGTATACAAAAATAGCAAAAAGAACAGTCTGTCAGCCAGCTCACGTGGAACAGATATATTTTGATATGCCCCTAGGTGAGAGCTGCATAAGCACACGTTTGTCCTCAACCATGTAGACTGCATCTTTGACGTGGCACACTGAGCCCTGAAGCTATATTTCCCTCTATACCACGTCCATTGTGCATCTAGCCACTGTCACAGTCTCTCCTCACACTGTTTGACACGCCCTCTCAACCAATAAACACTCTCAGTCTTGACATTAAATGAAGTTTAGCACTTGGTTGTCATCTTGAAGTGTCTGTGGCTAGGTGCAGCAGAGAAAAGCCTGAAGGTCCATCCTTTTCTAGGAAGTTATCTGGGAACGCAGACTAGACGTATTTTTACCCAACAAATTCAAAAGCAAACAAAGACATTTAGTTGTTTAAGCTTACCTTGAACAAGACATGTATTGTTAAAGTCATCTCCAGTGAACAGTATTGACACATGAGTTATGTGCATGAAAGCAAAAAGTTAGTCCACTGGTCTGTAACAAGAACAGATTCTGAAATGTTCCAGCTGAATGTGAAGTTTACTTTGCAGCGTATCAAGAAGATTCAGCAGGGTCATTCATTCTGAATAGAGGGTATGTCTTGTGTAAAGGAGTGCTCCCTGTTGCTCCCAATGTCCAAATTCAAGATTGTTTTTGGACTTCAACATGAAAACCATTTTCCAAACATGAGGGGGCAATCAAAAAGGCAAAAGCAATATTCGGAAAGGAATAAAGATCAAACCATTCACCCCATCTAGCTGAAGATGCTGCACGACAACAATGAAATTGGTCTGAACTGACCCGAATCAAGAACCTGTAAAACTTTTGATTGAAATCATATATGAGTTTCTTCAGTGTTGTAAGGGCATCTATTTGGCCCATCCATGTTTCAACAACCAATACATTTCTTAGGTAAATAAAACAGAAACATAACGAGTGGTAACATAACATGAATGCAGAATTTGAATAAACTAACTAACTAATTTCTATCTATAACTGAGATAATTGAGTAATTGTGGATGTCATATCCAAATATATATTTAAAGTTATACCTAATTAACCCCTGTTGTAAAATTTGTCCTCTACATCTGACCTATACCTTTTGGCTGTTGACCCTTTAGTGATTTCCTGGGTTTCCTGGGAAACCTTGGGAAATAATAATTAAATAAATAATTAAAATTCTCACCTCTACACAAGCATTTTTCTCTATCTTCATAGAATGTGTATCGCAGTGACAAAGCCTTTACTTCAGGCATTCAGGCCGGCAGGTACTCAAGGCTCAGCAGAGAGCAAGCCAGACAGGGTGCAGTTGCTATAGCTGCAGAGGTGAGAGTTAGAGGAATTTGGAGAGACTATGTTGCAGCCTGAATGAGGATCTAGTTAAGCATTCAGTGACTCAGGAAAAGCAGTAATGAAGGTGTATGAGGTAAGTCAGGTACATATCAAATGTCATCTTGAATAAGAATAAGATCCCCCCAAACTACTGCGCCCCCCCTTCTCTTCATTTGTATGCTACGTGCCCAGGTCATTCTGTGGATAGATGGAATGTGTGTAGGAGGGTTTCAGATGAATCAGGTTGCCGGCCAGGAGCTTCCTCACAACCCCTAAAGCCATCACTGAGTGACAGTCACCTTCCTAGCCTTTGTAGAGCCGCAGTCACAGAGGCATGACCTCACTGGCCATGTCGATCACAACAGAAATCTGATTTCCACTGCATTCTGATGGGGTGACCAAGGCGTGTATTAGAGTGATTTAAGTGACATAATAACAAAGCCTTCAAAGCTCAAAGCAGGCAAACTGAGCGTCACATCACTGGAGATTACACTTAACAATGACACGGATACATACATAGATATATTTTATTTTTGTGTATTGAGCTTTATATTGAATGACTGATGTACTATATGTTTAACATCCCATCTGGCACAGGATGACGACAGTAACTTCCACATGGACTACATTGTTGCTGCTTCTAACCTGAGAGCAGAGAACTACGACATCCCTGCAGCCGATCGGCACAAGGTCAACATTTTCACTATGTCTTCATCTGATCAAATCTCTGTGTAGGCTTAGAAAATATAGAAGAAAGTCAGAGGGATGAAGCTGAGGTGAGAGATTAGAAAATACTGCAGACTGCTCCCACTCCCTTGGGGTCATGTTTTCAGTCAGTGCCGCACACACCTGCCCTAAAGCCACAGAAACGGCCTCCTCACCTATTGTTCCTGGAGCAGAACTAATCACAGCACTTTACCTGTCGCCTGGGAGGTGACACCTGAGCCAGGCCTTGTACCAGCCGCTGCTACAGACACACACAGCCAAGACAGATGGAGGGTGGCGGGGGGATGGGTGCTGCTGAGTGAGGGGAGACAAAAGAGGTTCACCCTTCTGTAATCATGCAGAGATTTACACACGTTGCATCTTGTTTGGGAATAACTTTGCTTTTACAACATACTGTATATCTACACTACAGACATTACTTTTACAACATAAGGGATAAGGTGCTAGATCAGTGTCAGTATTAAAATAACAAGGATATTGTATTAATATATGTACATGTAACAAAAGTATGAGATATAATATATAAAGTAGTTAAATGAATGTGTATTACAATGAAATGTGCTGTGCTGATATGCATTACATCAAAGAAAACAGACACAAACAAGACTCATTTTATGATTTGAAGTGGTACTCTTTATGCAGCAGAATGACCCCCGTCAGTGTTATATTACTGGATGCATTGGATAGCGATGCATGACTATGTATACACCATTTATGTTGTACTTGGTCAGATAAAGCTGATTTTTACTACTTTATAGGGTAGCATAATCTAATGTTGCATCATATTTTATAAACTGATCATAGGTTTTGTACGTGTTTATGTTTATGCATCAGAAATAATAATGGAATAATATAATATGTAATGATAAAACTCTGATAGGGTTGAACATGCTGCATATTGAGTACTTTTACTTTTTGATACTTATATGTAAGTAAGATTTTGAATGCAGGACTTTTACTTCTAATGGAGTATATATAGTCTTTGTTGTAATGGCTACTTTTACCTAGTACATGATCCGTCTTCTTCCATCGTTGAATGTAGTGGAGCTGAAATATAAGGTAGCACAAAATAGAGGTACGCAAGTTAAGAACAATCACCTCAAAACTGCACTGAAGTACAGAACATCTTTGATATTTGCCACCACTGGCATTTTATAAAACATGTCGTCACAAAATGATTCTACCGAAACTTGCTAATATTGAATTCATGTCCAGCTCTAGATTAAATGCAGTACATTTTACGTACCAAGTGAACTTTCCTCTGTCTTCTTTACAGAGTAAGGGTATTGCTGGAAGGATCATCCCAGCCATAGCAACCACCACAGCCGCAGTGGCAGGCTTGATGTGCCTGGAGCTGTATAAACTGGTGCAGGGTCATCAGAATATCAGCTCTTACCGTACATCTTATTTCATCCTGGCTGTCCAGCATTATGTGTGGTGCCAGCCGGGCCGGCCCAGGTCCTTTGAGGTGAGTAACAGCTCTATGCACCCAGTAAGGCACTTTATGCAGCCTGACAGACCCTTACTGTATATACATTTATAATTTAAGCCTGTCTATTTTGGGGATAAATCTGTAGATTTATGCCCTTCCTCTCTGGTTGGGGAGCATTAAGTCACGAATGAGTGCTCTCAGTGTGAGACCACTGCTAACCATCAATCTCCTGCATATAAGTCAACTCTTTAGCTAGCTCTGTATAATCCTCAGAGTATTTTAGTGCAGGTATAAGGCACAAACACACCCATGTCTGCTTCTGTGTTTGCACAAATTAAGTGAATTCAAGGCAACTGTAAGTCAAAGCCAAAGGACAGGAGCTTATTCAGCAGTCCTTTTAGGATCAAATCCACCTTAACATTTGAGATTATACCAGGTTTGTGAGGTCATACTAGGCTCTTTATGCTGTATGAGCCGAGCTTTAAAGCACAAACACAAAATGGCTACCAGCCAGATTCAAAACCCAAGCAACTCTTGGGGTCACATTTTAGGTCAAGTCTGAGAGCATATCCAGGAGAATTATTTTGCTACCCCTGTACTGGCCTGACTGCTTTTTCCCTCAATACTTCACCTCTGGATGGGAATCAGATATTGGAGCTGCCCTCACCAGCGTCTCACTCAGAGCACTGAACTCCTGACAGACAGGGGTCACTGGGGGTCAGCAAGTGGGGTAACTGTGTCCCACGGGATGTGAAGGTGCACTGACAGGGAGCTCTGAGACAGTGTAGGTCTGGTTTCAGCTTTGGTTACAGGCAAATACGCTGCAGCTGCATTAAAGGCTGCCTGATGACAGAGGCAGCTGTGACTTTCAGTGCAGTCCTGAAGTTCCAGGCATGCCCTTTTCCTTACATACAAAGACCCCGGTGTTCTCGCAGTTGTTTTCTGTAAACTCGATCAGTCAAAGTGTTTGCACATACTTGTGTCGTTTTTTTTTTCTGTCTTCTAAAATATGCTGGCCGAAACATTACATTGCCCAAGCAGCATGGAACGTTGGGTGCACTGAGTAAATGATTGCAGTCACGCAGACTGTACCTGACATCATCCTAGCCAGAGGTTATATATTCAAGTGTTGAATAATTTAGTCAGAAGTATGGGCAGATTTTCCATACCCAGGCTTTTTCATCGGGGCTTGAAGTGTTGCAGCATCAGCTTTTAAGCTTAACTCTATTCAGCAGTGGCGACAGAGAAGAGACGGGATACCAACAGGGGAAATAGGTTCAGCTGAGGTTCAGGGATTTTTACAGACAACTCTTAGAGATGAATATTGGTAGGCACTAATAGATGAGGAACACACGTGCACACTTGCTGGGTAAGGAGTGAGAGTGAGAGAGAGAGAAAGATGGTTGGCTGCCAAACGGAGTGGGAGATGCCCTAATGTCTGCCAAAAAAAACATTTTTGTCTTGATTAGTTTAAATTTGTCTATGATACCTTCTAGAAAAATCAGTTCAGTTGATAGTCTTTTCTCAAACATATTCTCTTTCTTCTCTGTAGTGTATGAGCCACATAGATGTAGAACTGTAATTCTGAAAGCACATAACAAAAAGATGGTAAGACAGAGTCTGAGGAATCACATGGCCTCAGTTCTTGCAGTTTACATGATCAAGATCAAAATGTATGCTGGGTATTAGAGTAACTATCTAGAATCCTTATCAAAATGTGTATATTTTGCATGTATGTTAAAAAAACAGCTAATCTATCATTCTCAGATTTTTAAAACTAACAATATTGGTAAAAAATCTAGTATACTCTTTTCCACATGCATGCATAAAATGAAGTGTGCATGCATGTACTCATATTCCAGTCAAGTGTTCTAGTTATTATATCGTCATATAACAGGGTATCGTAATGTACAACAAATAACTATAAAGAAGCCCTGCTTGTGATTCTTGATTTTGGTGCCAGGACTATCAGGACTAAATATAACTGATTTAAAATAGCAGTAATTAGCCCCCAGCAATGACTGCAGAACCAAAAACAACTTATTAATATCCTTTTATCTCCCTAATCTGTCTAAGATTAGAGAAGTTTTTATTAGGCAGCCTTTGAAGCAACTGCAGACGTGCAGCTGTTAAATATTACTGATCAGACATGCAGTATCCAGAGCTCAGCTTACTTTTGCAATGACTTAGACCTCTCCCCTTATGAGATCAGTCTCAGTTCATTAATATCAAGTATCAAGTAACAACACTCACATCTCACTGGTAGTACTGGTGGCCCACCCTGTATTCATTCAAACTGGAATGTACACAAACTGGAGTGCACACCACAGGTTTAGCAGTCGTCGTAATTGAGTCTGCATTATCACAAATCTGAAGAGGAAAAAATATGGTAATGAGATGATTGAAGGCTTTTGAAAAAGGTGTTTTAGATGTGGCTGGTTACCACTCTGTCTGTACATACCAGAGTTTTACTCACTCTTTAACTAAAATAAATTACTACTCATTCTCCCACCATGCTAACACTAATCCAGAAATTGTTGCTTTAAAGCAGCTGTTTCTCAAAATAGGAAGTTCCCCTGGCTTTCCCCCACTGCTGCTATCCTCTGCATGGAAGCAGAAATATGTAAACAAATGGGAGGCTGTCCTTGTCCGCTCAACACTGCGATTCTTTAGTATCGTTTTCCTCCCTGTGTTTATGTTTTTCAGTGTAAGGGGCCAAGGCACAGTCCATTAAAGGAATATCAAGTCGAGCAATCCCACAGAGATGAGAATCTCTAAATTAGCTGGAAATATTTGCACAAAATTTATGTAGACACCAAGATGTGTCCATACAAAGCTTGTTGTTACTTGGCTTTCTCTACTGTCACCACCCTATTTGTCATTTGCCAAAAGATTTACTGAAACTCTTTATACTTTCCAGCTTATATAATTGCAAAGTACAACATGGCAGATGTTCTCATAATTATAGTTTCTCATTGAAATGAATTAAACTACTTAAAGCAGCACTAATTAATATTAATTATTATTATTATTAACAATGGGTCTAATGAGTATAATCTTAAAGTAGTTGCTTATAATGACAAACACAGAGAATTTACACCTGACTCAGCTGTTAGTCTTGTACAGCCTATAAGCACCGGTTTTAGTTCACTCTCGCTGTTGTCATCGACCCCATTTCCAGCAGAAGCAGCGGGCAGAAAACTCCACATGTATGCACCAAAAAGCAGACAGACAAAGTTAGAGATTAGCCATTGAACATAGTGGAGCATTAAGCAGCTGAAGAACCAAATAGTTAGCTTAGTTGAGTTGTAAGAATACAACCCCAAATGAGTGCTAATTTAGCTCCATGCCTGCTTGATGTGTGTAAAGGCACGTTTTTTGCGAACACATTAGATGTATAAAATAAGGTACGGGGTGATGCTTGTTCAACTGCCTGCAAGTGGCCAAAGAGAGACATAAATACTGCTTTAAATGCACTCCTTATTAGTTGTTAAATATAGTACGTAGCTGAAATCCACTGCAGTAGAGTAAGAAGGGCTAAATTCCCCTCAGATCACAGACAGTGCAGACAGTGCACGCCTTGTTATTGCAGAAAACGAAACCTCACAAGGCATTAAAGGATATTTCAAGAGCAACTAAGATTAATGAGTGTTGTGCTCCTGCAGCTGCAAATGAGCTTCAGCCTCAGTAAAACATAGAGAAACATCACCCGAGGCCAGAACAGAGGAGGACGTCTTTGAGCTGGGTATTAAACAGCTCCATCCTCAACCCCTCCTGCAGCTTGCCCAACTCTCTGTACCAGTGTATGCTGTCTTAACTTGCCTGCTAGGCTGCCTGCTGGTTGTGTGCCATAAAAATACTCCCTCTTCCATGTCTGTGCACACATCCTCCACACCCTGGTCTTAACCTGGTGCCCTTTCACGCTCCCTTGGTGCCCCTCTTCCCCAGCTTGCCCTCTCGGTCTCTAATTGAATTAGCAGTGTTGGAAGCAAGGCTCCTGATCTCAAGGAAGCCACTCCAAGGTCAGTGCTCACACTGGTTTCTTTCGTTAATTGCCTGCAGAAATGACGACTATTTCCTGCCTTCACAGGAAGCAATGTATTGAAACCAGATTTCCCAGTGAGCTCTATGGGATCTTGCTGGAGGAGGCAGGGATTTTGTGTTCATCTGCTCCAGCCTCTGTTTCTAATAGGTTTTCATTCACAACTTGCTCAGCAAAAACAAAGCCTCTTGTTTGTGCACTGAGTGATCCAAAAACAACTTTTATTGAGTTCTCATTCAATTCAGGGTGGTTGTACGTTGTTTTACATTTAGAAAGCAAAACCGGGAGCAACTTTATTTGTGATTTGAGCACTTACATGTATATAATTGATGGTCACACATCTGTCACACAAATAACAGGGACTGGCTTAAAGAGAGTGCAAGAACAACAAAAGGGGAGATTTACCTCACATGTGGTTAAGTCTGTGTTGGTCTCCTCGGACCGTGCCAGTAAAGAAGACGGGTGAACATGATCCACGGTCCTCTGTACTCCTCTGGGAGCTCTGGCATGGAGTTGCATTGTGCAGTTTGTAACTCAAGCCCCAGACATGAATAGTGCTCACGGGATAATGAGTAATCTGTGATCAACATAAACGGCTTGTGCCTTCTGTTGTTTTCCATGTTTTTTGTTGTTGGTGTTATTGTGTGGTTGACCTTATGTTTTCAAGTCATCTGTTGTTTTACGTTGCATTGTTCGACCTCTGTTGTTCTTTAATTCCCTGCAGATCATTGCCTTCCCATTTGTTTCATCAAGAACAATATTATGCCTCTCTACACAGGTTGCTTGTTTATGTAACATCAGACTGACAGTAGAGCCAACAGCTAAACAAGATCATTAAATAAAAGCCCATTTAAAGAGTGCCATCCAGATCGTTTATTTAGTAGCATATGTGGTACGGCTCATAAACTCGACATGCATGCACCCCATTTAGCCAAATTAAAAAGCCAGATGCGTTTGGTATAGTTAGCAGCTCTTTCAAAGCATCCTCAATCAT